GGCGGAGGGGTGGGGCGGGGGAGGGCGGAGCCCGGTGGCCAGCTATAGCAGCTGGGACGAGGACGCTGACGGTGGCGGCAGCAGCAGCAGCAGCAGCAGCAGCAGCAGCAGCAGCAGTAGCATGGGGCAGGACCGCGGCATCGGCGGCGGCGGCGGCAGCATGGACGCGGCGGACTCGATGGGCAGGGCCGAGGGCGTGCCGCGGGAGCTGGCGGCGTTGGTGCGGCAGCTGCTGACGCTGGCGCGGCGGCAGCTACCGTCGATGCAGCTGCGGGTGAGTCGCGCCCCGGCGCTAAGCGTGCTTGCGTGCATGGTGCGCCGCGGGCGTGTGTGCGTGCTGCCGGCGCATTTCATGGACACACACCCAAACACACACACACACACACACACACACACACACACACACACACACACACACACACACACGCACACGCACACACACAGCACGTTGTGGCCGTCATGTGGGCCCTGAAGCGCCTGCGCGCCCCCGACGCCGCCGCCGCCGCCGCGCTGCTGCGCCGCTACCTCGAGCTACTGCCGCTCGCTACCCCCGGAGAGGCCGGCGCCGGCCTGCTGGTCGCGACGGAACTTGGCGCGTTCCGCGGCCGAGCGGCTGCGGCTGCCGCGGGCGGCGGCGGCGGCAGGGGCAGCGGAGGGACGGCAGCAGCGCTCGCGCCGCGGCCGGATGAGGGGTCTTCGCTCATGTCCATGTACGTGAAGTCGGTGGGGTCGCAGCTGCTCGTGACGGCGGCGCTCGGCCGCGACGGCGGCCGCCAGCTGGCGCTGGCGCTGCACGCGCTGCAGCGCTGGACGGGCCGCGCCGCGCGGCCGCGCGGCAGCTTCCTGCGCGCGTGGGCGCGCGCGGCGGCGCCGCGGCTGGGGGATTGGGCGCCGCGGGACGTGGCGATGGGCGCGGCGGCGCTGGGGCACTGGCGGGAGTGGAGTCCCGCGGCAGAGGCGTGGGTCGGGGCGGCGATGGCGGCGGCGCTTGAGCCGGGCCACATGGCGGCGATGAAGGGCGCAGACGCTGCGGGCCTGCTGGCGGGGTTTGCCGGGATGCAGTGGGGCGCCGAGGCCGCGGCGGCGGCCTCGGCGGCCCGCGGCGCGCCGGGCCCGGCCGTGGGCGCTGAGGGGCGGCGGGCGCAGGATGTCGGCATCGGGGCTGTGGTGGTGAAAGGTGACCTTGGGGCGCGTTGGTGGGCGGCCCACCAGGCGTCTACGCTGGTGCTGCTGCCATCGCTGACGCTGCAGGAGATCTCCCTGCTGCTGACGTCATCGGCTCGCCTGCGGCTGACGCCCGACCCCGAGTGGGTCGAGTCCCTCGGCCGCCGCGGCCTCGACCTCGCCCGCGGCGCCGCCGCGCGGCCCCGGACCCACGGCGCCGCCTGCCTGCTGCTCGTCGCGCTCGCGCGCGCCGCGGGGCGTCTCCCGCCCGACGCCGCCACGGACGCGCGGCGCGCGCTCGCGCCGGGCGTGGCGGCCGTCGCGGGCGCGCTCGCGCCGCACCTCGCCGGAGACAGCGGGCCGCTGGATTTGGTGCAGATCGCGTCCGCGCTCTCGAAACTCGGCGTCCGCCCCGGCCCCGCCTTTGTCGCCGCCCACACGCGCGGCGTCGAGCGCGTCTCGCACGCGCTGACCGGCCAGATGTGGCGGCAGGTGCGGGACGCGTACGCGGCGCTGCGGCTGGCGCCCAGCGAGGCGATGGTGCGGTCCTTCATCGTCCATCTGGGGTGATGCGTTGCGCCCCCTCCCCTGGTTGACTTGTTTGACGGCGCTATTGGCGGTTGTTGTGCGAGGCTGCAATGGTAACAAACAAAGCAAGCGCTGACGTGGCAGCTGGCCGTCAAGGCGGGTGGCCGCACGCGTACGTGCAGATTTTCGAGTTTTGCAGCGGGGAGGGGCCCCAGATGTGCGGAGGGCGCATCTGGGACAGAGACTTGCACTCTGTCCTCAAGCGGTTGACTGCCTGGGTTGGCTTTCTCCAGGGGTAAGTCGTAAAGCTGGTGCTCCTCCTCTGTCACAAACGAGCAGCCAAAGCAGCCGGCACGGCATCAACCATGCTGCTTCCCGACGGCCATACCCATCAGCCATCCATGCGAAAAGCAGACTCTGCACGGATGGCGGGCGATGCTTTGGGCAGCACGCCGCGCAGCTTCCTTGCGTTTACGCCCCGTTTGACCCCTTCGCCCGCTAAAGTTGGTGCAGCGGGCTCAAGCGGCGCCTCAATAACGTAAGCTCAGCCGCCAAAGCCTCCACCACTGGGGTCAAGTGCACTAAAGCGTTCACATGGTGGGTGCCAGTATTTACACCAGAGAGACTCACACCTACACGCCGCGCACGGCGAGCCTCAGGTCGCCAACCTCGGCGCAAGCGGCGATGCCCGCCGCCCGGCCAGCTCCTCACAGCCGCGCCGCGTCGCGCCACGCATCCAAGGACAGCTTACAACAGGCCCCTCACAGCGGCGCCACGTCCTGAAAGCTCCCCCTCACAGCAGGGCCACGTCCCCCTTTAAGTTGCAGTGCATCCAAAGGGGCGTATCGTGGTGGCGCCACGGCCCAAACCCCTTTTCCCTCACAGCAGGGCGACGTCAAGGAGGTCCCCTGTCTGGAATGACAGGTGGTGTAGGGTCTTGCCGTCATCCACGCTGGGGCGGCCCACCATCACCATGCCCACCTTTGCGAGGGGGGCGGTGTGTGTGTGTGTGTGTGTGTGTGTGTGTGTGTGTGTGTGTGTTGGGGGGGGCCGCGACGGTCTTGCCATATAGTGGTGGAGCGGAGCAGGTGTCGGAGGGGCAGATTCGCGTGTTGGGTTGAGCGCCTGGGTCTGGAAGTGTTCAGGGTCGAGCGCTTGATGGCTTTCGCAGTCGTGTCGAGCTCCCCGCGTGCCCGTGTGTGGGTGTGGTGGAGTGAGGGTGCAGCGCACGGCCTCTCAGAGCCGACCAACCCGGCCTTGCCTAGGTCCCTTGGGTGCCATGGGCATGCTCCGGAATGATAAAACAACCCCCCCCCCACACACACACGCACACACACACACACATACACACACACACACACGCGCGCACACACGCGCATACACACGCGAACGCACCAACCCACGTACACACACGTACACACACATACACACACACACACACGCACAAACGCACAATCCCCTCACCTGCCGCATGACGTTGCGGCCGCGCCTGTCCGGATAGATGATGGCGAAAGACAGCCGGGTCCGCGGCTTGCGCGCGTCCTCGTTCACCTGGACACGAGTGTGTGTGTGTGTGTGTGTGTGTGAGTGTGTGTGCGTGCGCGTTTGTGTGTGTGGGGGGGGGAGGGGGGGTGCGCGCGTGTGTGTGTGTGTG